ATTATCTTAGAATAGATATTTGTCACACATGGCAGAGATGGGAAGAGAGCTATGCACCCATCCCAAATTCCGGGAATGGAGCAAATTGGACTCACCAGGGATTGGCGAGCATTTATTTGCTTGCTAAGAAAGGCAAATGTTTGTGGCTTCTTTGGTGATAGCAGCTCAGGTCCCAGAAAGACAAAGCTGCCACTGCAAGTGTCTGCTGCCCAGACTGAGCGTGAACATGCGTGTTTGGGAAATTAAGACCACGGGAGGCATCGGCCTCTGCACCACCATGGATGAAAAACGTTGCCCAACACTGCTCCCCTGAGGCTGTGAGCACAAGTATTGAACGTGCAACCCTCACCCTTCCAGATCCAACACCAATCACTGGACTATCTACCAATTATATGGAAAAACTAAGATTAATATTCTCATTAAACCCTATCATGCAGCATCTGTATAATGGGAACCTCATTGCCCATTAGTTCATGTTTACCAGAAAATAATGGTGCTTATCAGAAGAGACCACTCTCTCCTTAACTGGAAGAGCAAATCATTGAAGCGGAGTTTGCTTTATGTTTCATACTCCTCTGTCCTTCGTATGTGTGCACTTTTAAGGGCTCATTATCTTCTCATTGATGCGAGGGGGTTATGCATGTAGCTACCATTAATGGTAATGAAAACGGCTCCTGTTAAATCTCCCGTGCACTGATAGTAAGATAATAGCCTACTTATTAAGTATGAAGGCCAGCCTAGGAGTTGCACTGAAAACGAGCAGCATATTGCCTCTGTGGGACTCACACGTAAATGCTAAAGCATTGCTCTGCGTCTACATTTGATGATAAAGAAGAAATTAGCGCTGGCGGAAATGTGTTCTCCTGGCACATGCCTCCACCTACCACAAAGCAGTCCTAACCCCATAATTTGGTATTTTTCAACTTTATGACCAAACTCCCCTCAGAGATAAACCAAGTGCTGATTATTTTATTTTTTTTTTTAAATTCAGTCTGAAGCGAAACTGACTAGAGCGCACGCAGAACTTTGCTATAAAGCTTTATGGTTTTGGTCGGGGTTAGGGTCCTGGTCGGTGCCCCGGGGCTGGAAACTCGGACCCCAGCCAAAACCCCGGCCCCCGCCGAAACGCAGCGGGTTAAGGCGGGTACCCACAATGCATCGCGGCCCTGCAACGTCGCCGGCTGCGGAGGGGGCAGCGACTGCGCCGTGAGGCGCCCGGGCGGGAGCGGCGGTGCCGCGTCAGGACCGGTGCGTTACCCCTTCATCTTCCCCGGGGCTGCGGCCCGCTCTCTCGGGGCGGTTCGCTGAGCTGGCGGTGCCGCAGCGCCGGCTCCGCTTGGGCCCGGTTTCCCCTCCCTCTCTGGGCTTGTCGCACAGGACGGTCCCTGGGGGAAGGCAGGAGATGCCGGTGCTCGGCTGGCGTGGCAGGGGGGGGGGGGCGGAGGAGGCCTGAACTACTTCTCACGACGGCCTTTCCCTTCTCCGCTATTTTAGTTATTATTATTATTATTTTTCCTAGAAAGGGAAGGCCAGTGTGCTCGTCGGCAATCCGGCCATGTTCTGAGGGAGGCCTCCGGGACCCGGCTTAGATCCAGGTTATCGCAGGTGTGTGTGAAGAAGCTGCTATCCTCGCATCCCCTGTGAAGCTCTTGGTAAGGTGGCTGCGCTTCTGGGTACGCAAAACTGCATGCCTATAAAAATATGCAACAGTCTCTAATATAAATTTGAAAGTGACTTTTGCCTGAGCCTTTTAGGTGGGTGCTGGCATTTGGTTCAAAGTGTTTCTCAGGCCCACAAGGCCTCTGTGGTTTTTCTGTCCTGGTGAGACCCATAGGGATCCTTCAGGAGTGTGTTATCATGCAGACCACGTCACCAGCCTGATTTTCATATTCTGAATTGCAAAGCTCGTTATGGGTCGGCTGCGTGAATTTGATGCTGTATCAGAGGAGCAAAGTCCTCTTATGGCTCATTTCCCTGCCACTTCTGCCTTTTTGCTTGCTTGTAGCAAGCTAAAGTTTCCTAACGTGGAAACTCACATGGTGTGTGTCTGGTTTTTGCTCTGGAAACAGATGGTTTGGGAAATAGGAGTGTGAGATTGGTCTGTCTGAAGCTGTTTCCTCCTTGGAACCCTTAGTCCAAAATATTTGTATTCTTCAGTGCAAACTTGTTCCTAAACTAAACATATTCTTCACTGCTCATGTCCATTTACATCAGATCAAAACAGTGCATGTTATTTAAGGTGTCTGCCAGTTGTTACTTCAGAATTTAGCACTGGAACTTAAAACAGCAGAGTGGCTGTGTACCCCGTCAGCGACTAGGGTGCAGCTTTTGGGTGGTAGACAGTGACAAGTTGATCACCTACAACTTTGTGGGTAAATACAGCTGAAAATAGACTAGGCACTTCTAAAGACTTCGGCTTAGAGCATGACTAGTTTTCCTTGTCCCCCTTTCCTTCATTTCCAAATGATGTGGTGGCCTTTGGTGATTTGAGAAGCCGGTGGCCCATGTTACTGCCTCCTTTTCTTGGATGACGTGGTGTGGGTGAAGCTTTGCCTTTCTACCAGGCAGATGTGGTGGTTTGATCAGGGAAGTAGGCCCTTCTGAAGTGGGTATGTGCTCAGATTGCAGCTGGCCAGAGATCTTTCGATTATAAGTTTTTTATTAAAAAAAAAAGCAGTTACAACAGACCCAAAGGCAATTGCTTCTCTGTCAGCTTGGAGTCAGAGATCTGAAACTCTGCATCTCTTTGTTATTCTGATTGAAAACCTGGGCGAAAGGAGGGGAAAATGGTAAAGGAAGGATAGCAGTAAGGAGAATGAGCAGCAAACTCATTATATTCATAAGCTGTCGGTAATGTACAAGAAGTTCCTGGGGAAATACAGCCCTGAGGAACGGGAGTTGGAACGCAAAGAGAATACTAAAAAAAAAAAGGCAGATGAGGGCCCAAAGTATGCACCATTCTCTGTCTGGCTATTACCGCTGAGTGACTTACTTAATTTCTGCAAAGGGAGAATTTTCCCTTGTCTTTCAAGTGACAAGTAATGGATTTGAAGACATGGAGTTCAACTCACGTGAATGTGTTCATGGTCTCTGTTTAGGATGTGAACAAACACCTTTCACATGTAGTGCACATGAGTAAATTACATAAAATTAAGTGTTGTTATTGGAGAAAGTGTTTCATTATACAAGGGGTCGCTTGCCACGCTTTTGTTTTGCTTTTCTGAAAGTTAGGCAACTTCTGTTTCATTGTTGATAAAGAACAGTTGTGTTCAGTTTTAGTTTGATGCAGGATGACTGGAAGATTTTACCTACCATTAATTACAGTAACCTTTTACTTTTTTTTATTGTACAATTTACCTGATTTTGCTTAATACAGATAGTAAAGATTGAAAGGTAGCATATTCTAAACATCAGTGAAAACGCTGATTAAATTACAGAGAATTAAGTGCTTGTCAACAAGATGTTTATGAAGGAATAAGTGCTTTAGATAAAAGGCAGTGAGTTCTGCCACAGAACTTCTGCTGTTAACAGTGGTAATCCTCAGGTACAATATTGAGTTTATTTATTCCTGAATTGTGTTGTCTTAGCTGGTGGTGTGTGTAATTGTATTTATTATACCACTGTGGCTACAGGTCACAGAAGGCTGCTCTGCTTTAGAGATGTCTAAGAAATTGATGTTGCCACGTTCATACAAATTTAATGTTTTCTTACCTGTAGCATTCTTCTTTTTAAAATAGCCTTCCTTTCCTAATTAAGGATGTGTTCTTCCTCTATCCCCTATGGGGTTGTGGCGGTTGTATGTAACGCTTAATCATCTACCTTCTACAATTATTGCAAGATTTTTAATCCTTGATAATTTAAGGACTTACGACTGTTAAAGTGTCAGAGACTTACATAAAGATGTTTCTGCCTCTCAGACCAGTATTTGATGAAAACATGACCTGTTATTTTTCACTTTGTATTTTAATTGACCAGTAATCTTGACATTTAGTAGTTGTGGTTTCTTGTCAGCCTGGTGACTTCTCTGTCTTTTTATTACGTCTTAGAAGTTCATTTTCTGCAATAAAAATGAAAGGATGGACTGGAGGTAGAAAGGAAGAAGATATGTTATTTATTTAAAGTTAATGTACTACCAAATTAGTTGGAAATGTGAATTCATTTATCTAAATTGCAGTCTGATGCTGGACCATACACTATATTCTGTTTATTCATGAGTGTTTTGTGTACTTCCAGTCTTTCCAGGCTATGTACTGTGAGTCACGGGCTTTTTTTCTTAGTGTGAATTTTGTCTGTAGCTTGACATTGCTCCCTGCTGCTGTGTTTTTATGGTTTATGAAAATCAGAGCAAGATGATGTGGTCTGCCAGTGAGACACCGCCGTCAGAATTAGAATTCTGTTTTGTGTAAAAGGTCCCAATAATTGTTGTCTTAGCTTAGCATTCAGTTGATAAGCAAACTTGGTATTTCTGAAAAGTCACCTTTTTTGGTGTCTTCTAGTAAAGCGGCCTTTTAGCAATGTCTTCACTCTTAAGCGTAAGAGTTTCTGCTGGTTTTTGCTTAGCTCCGTTTTGTTATGTGCGTATGATTCCTTGTGATCACACATGATTATGAAGTGCAGTCAGAAAGGGAAGAGGATGGGTCTGGGAGCAGCGTCAAGGAAGAGTCAGTTTTGATCCAACGTGTGCCATAGATGAGTTTCCATGTTTTATCAACCCCTGTCCCCTTTTCAGTTGTGGCTGAATTTCACCTTTCTAGTGCATGAATTAAAATTAAAACTACTGAATCCCCCAGAATGTACAGAGGAAATGGAAAAGTAAGGTTGTGGGGTTTTTGGTGGTTTGCTTGTTCCTCGCCCCGCCCCCTGCGATTGGTTGTGATTCACTGATTTAGAGTGCAAGCTCTTTTTCCTAGAGATGTGCTTGTAAGGTACTGAACATCTGACCAATATCAAATCCTTGAATGTGACTTGGTTCTTTGTTTTTCGTTTTCTTCCTTAGAATCATGGCGAGTCCAAGAACAAGGAAAGTTCTCAAGGAAGTCAGAGCACAAGATGAGAACAATGTGAGCAAATTATTCTAATCTTTAGATTAGTTTTGTAGAATTGAATTCTCTTTTTACCTTCTCCACATGTGTGTTGCAGTCTACTACAGCTATCAGCTTTCTAGCACTACTATAGCTACCTAATGTAACGTATAAAATTGGATATCTCATATCTGTGTTAGTTTTAGTAACTTTTATTCATATTATCTATAATTCATTGCTGCATATTTGGCACAAGTCTCTCAGGAGTTCTAGTAATGCTGTAACCTCTAGAGTCTGTTAAACAAGTGATGTCTTGGGTACAGCTTAATTAAAATGGTCTATTTTCAAGTAGCTTGATTATATGCTACCTTAAACGTGATAAGCCATGGACAGGTTCAGTTTTATTTATATCAGTGCATTAAACCTTGAATGGTGATTCCAGTCATAAGAACTTAAGTTGTTGTGCTATGAGCAATAAAGCTATTTTAAAGAAAAACCTCTGTTCAGATCTGCTATTGCTTACTGCCAAGCTGTACTATGACTGAGTAAATGTTCCGAACTTTAAATGTTGCATCTCTATTTTGCCAAGGAAACTTCAAGAATTCAGTTTCATTACTTTCTCCTCTTCAAAACAATCTGGAAATGAAATCAAATTGAATTCTTTTCTCATTAATTTCAACTTCCTCATCTGCATTACTTCACTGGCTTTTGCTAGTCGCTACAGTAATTTTTATAATCCAAATCAGGCAAGTTAATGAGCATTTTTTTTCGATGCAGCATAAATAAATATTTGAAGGAAGCAAATGCTGTCAGAGACGGTGTTTCCAAACACAATGAACTCTCCCTTCTGAAATTATTTTCTGCCTGTAACGTTTTCATTATTCGTTTTTTTGAGCTGTACTGTGAAAACTTCACACGAGCAAGTGATGACCGAGTGTTAGAGATAATTGTTTTTCTCTCGCAGGTCTGTTTTGAATGTGGTGCATTCAACCCCCAGTGGGTGAGTGTGACTTACGGAATTTGGATCTGTCTGGAGTGCTCAGGAAAACACCGAGGCTTGGGAGTTCACCTCAGGTCAGCCTTTCGAGTAGACGATTGACTGAGTTGGGTTACCTCAGAGAGCATTATGGCTGTGAGCAGAATGGGTTGTTTCAGAAGGGTATAGAATGTCTCAATCCTGTTCCTGCAGGTGTTCCTGCTCCGGCAGGGGGATTGGACTGGATGATCTTTTGAGGTCCCTTCCAATCCCTAACGTTCTGTGATTCTGTGTGATTCTGTAATCCCAATGTTTCACTGGCAGTTCTGCATTATGCTCCTCTCCAAAGTGAGCTGTACTGAGATAGGTGTATGATGAAGGGTATTTCTTTAGGAACAAAAAGAAAGAAATCAGCCAGTTGCACAGTAAAGAAGCATGGATAAAGTTTCTTTTAGATAGTGGGTTAGATTAATTTATGGGCCTGAAGAAAGCTGTTTTCTCTGTCACTTGCCTTCTATTGACGGTCCCTTCTGTTGTTTTTGTCCCTGCTGATACAGCTGGAAATTATAACAAGCTGTGATTTAACTTGTTTTAAAAACTGCTTTTCAGTTTTGTACGTTCTGTAACGATGGACAAATGGAAGGATATTGAGCTGGAGAAAATGAAGGCTGGAGGTAATAGCAAATTTCGAGAGTTCTTGGAGTCTCAAGATGACTATGATCCCTGCTGGTCAATGCAAGAGAAGTACAACAGCAAAGCTGCAGCTCTTTTTAGAGATCAGGTAAGTTCAATTGTGTGTGTCCTCATTCCCTACTATTTAAAATATCAAAGTACTTTTTAAGCATTTCTTTTTGAAGGGGGGCATCTGGAAAGCAGCAAACTTTTGAACCTCTGTGATGGTTCTTGAAAGGTGTGTCTCAAAGAGCTTCTTCCCAGCTCTTAAGAATTTTCTTTAGAAAATGCACTTTCTGCATTCAGCTGAGGTGGCTCAGATTTTCATTGCTGCAATTTGTTGCAAGTAGTTAGTGCAGCTGTCCCAGTCCACTGCAGACAGTTTTCTACTTCAGCAGTACAGTTTTATCCAAAGTGATGGTTGATAAATCTTTTGTGTGTATAGTAACAAAATGGTTAATCAGTTTCCAAATACTGGCAGGCCTATAAACAGATAAATTAGTAATTCGAATGGCTTTATAATTTTGTGGAGCTTTGGAATTTCCAAAAAATAAATTACAAACAACTTGAACTTGTGAGCTTAGGTATTTCAAGGATACTGTGTTTTTTATACTGACCCTGCCACAGCGGTGATAAGAAGGTACTTTCTGTGCTCACTGGGATATCCATGCAGCTTTGAAGCTTGCTCTGTGTTATCTGTTTGTATCTTTAGAAGTTGCTAGGAATAGCAGACAGTTGGCTAAAGTGGACTACCCTGATGAAATCAAAGAACTTGTAAGTTCTGCGCTGTAGGCTTTTTAGTACGTGAAATGGGGAACTATGGAGATTCTGTGGCAAGGCCTTTGGAAATTTTAGATAAAACTTGCTGAAGTTATGACTGGATTGGAGGAGCGGTATGAGGTGACAAGACAAAGTTCAGATCCCTTGTTTGAAGGAGGCAGAGAGAACATTTAAATTCTGTGTATGTGTTTTAGGCACGCTACGGTAGAATACAAATCCATCTCTTCCTGTTCCTTTGTTATTCTGTGACTAGTGCTTGTATCTCTTTACTAATCCAGTCTTTTCTCTTCAAACCACACTTGCCTGTTCAAACAAGTTGCCAAAAGTCAGTTGCCTGAAGTAAAACCAGTGTTCAATTCAACATTACTAGCCTGAGATTCAGAAAAAAAATCCGTTTCTTGTAAAAACACAAATGAACTGATCTATGTAGCTGTCAGGAAAATGGAATAATGACTTGTCCTCACTTTACAGGACCAGTGTATAAAGTTGTATGAAAACTCTGAGCTAGCATTCTGATTATTTTCTTACCTCTTCTAGGTAGCTACAGTAGCTGAAGGCAAGGAGTGGTCTATTGAAACCTCTCCTGCCAGGAACTGGACCCCACCTCAGCCTAAAACGTCTCTCTCTTCCACTCATCGGTATGTATTCTTGTTACCTGATGCTGATAAAGCAACAGCAGCATCAAAACCTGATGTTTGAACGTCTGCTGGTTTTATTCTGTTGATGGTGTTGTCTGAACAAGCATTTCTTTTGCTGAAGCTAAGGAATGTGAGGTTGCAGGGCTTTAATTTCTGTAATAATTCCTACCTCCTCCACCTGAGTCTTAAACCATGGCAGAGACGAGTGAGCAAGAGCAGAGGGACAACCCATGCTGTTTTTATCTTGACTTGTAACGTACCTGAAAGTAGTCATTGTGTCTGTCACGTGTGGAGTATCACAGCCTTACCTCACCTTCGGTGCTATTCCAGTTTGGGATTGAATGCCAGTGAAGAAGAAACAGACTTTTTCCTTACGATGCTAATTCCTAATGGGAGCATCAAAGCTGGACTGCAGCATTTTTGATTTTCTGGTTTTGCATGTAGTGGTTGTTATTCTTTGCACTGAAGAATCAAGTTAACTGAACAAGCATTTGTAAATCAAGCAGACAAGTGCTTCATGCCTGGCCCCCATCCAGCAAACTTAGGGGTGAGCTGTAGTCTTGTGTACCATTGTGTGTCTGGGTCTGCTGTTCCTTTAAATACTCCGGTGGCTTTTAGCGGTTGCATTAGAGTTCCCTACTTGATAGATGAAAGAAATAATCAATTTTGCACCTGTATTATGATGATGTATGTCAGGCTGCACTGCTGAGCTAGTGGTTTTTGCTTTATGCAGTTTGATTCTTAAATCTTTCATTTCAGTAGTTCTGCTGGACCGTCACAGGCTGCAACTGCCTCTTCTGACAAGGCTTTTGAAGACTGGTTAAATGATGATGTCAACTCCTACCAAGGGTAATGCAATATTTATTAACTTTTTGAGTGCCTCGCCCTCTAGCATAACAAAGACAAGGGATGTTATACTGCATCTGCACAACTGTGATCCCGATTCACATCTTGTTTACTATTAAAAATATTTTGATGATATATGATGAAGGGTAAGAGGAAGGAAAGTGCCTCTTATTTGTATAACAAAAATGTTTGAATAGCACTGAAGAAAGAGCTTGTAACTCAAAATGTTACTGTGGTGGGCTCCAAACTAGGAAATTTTATTGTGTATAGTATCTTACAGTGATTTGAGTTAAACAGGAGTATTTATAAAGCTAACACTATTTTCTTCTTTCTTTCCTTTTCATATTTTCATGTATCACTTTATTAGGATTTGCTCAGGCTTCTGATATCAGTGATCTGTTAAACCTGGAGAATCATTAAGACCATGTTAGCATGCATAGGGACGCTAATTTGCAGGGGTTCATCAGTGGATCCTTGTTGGTGTTAAGTCTTGATGAAGTGAGTGGTTTTGTATTTTGGGTGCTAAGTAATTTAGGACTTTTTTTTCCCAGGTGGATTTTAAAGTCTGTTGAACAGTTGTCATTCTTTCATGCTTTTTGGTTTTTGCTTAATGGTTTTAAAGAATGCATGCTAATACTGAATCTGTTCGTTCATTTTCTTATGGTAGTGGCCAAGAGAATCGCTATGTGGGGTTTGGAAACACAGTAAACCCTCCAAAAAAAGAGGATGACTTCCTGAATAATGCTATGTCTTCATTGTACTCGGTAAGGAAAGGCTTGAAGCTTTCTGTGACCTGAATTACTGTTTTCTTCTACTTTGTCCTGTAATGGGAGAATATGAATGGAGAAGAGAAACTAAAGACTGCAAGTAGGTTCAAAGAGATGTAGACTATTGGTTGTATTTTCAAAGAGTGGAGAAGACACTGGTAGACTTTAAAAGGCAAAACAAAGGGAGAAACTTGAACAAAATTTAAGAATTATGTCTGGTATCATCTTATAGAAAAAAGGAAATGAGGATATAGCAAGGGATCAAAAACTAATACTCAACAAGGTGTGGAGGGAAGAAAGGAAAAGTAGTTACCTGTTGGGAATGGCAATTAGACTGGTAATGCTCTAGAGATTAACCATAGTAGGTATGTTCAGTGTAAAACAACTGAAATGTGTGTGTACATGGGTGCCGGAAGCCCTGAGCAGTGATTAAAACACTTGAAATACTTGTGACAGGGTGTGAAGAGATAACAGCATATGGCTGAACAGTTGTCATGATTACAGTAGACATAGTGAAATATGCATTGTTGAAAGAAAATGGGAATCAAGTTGGAGGCAGTCAGGGACGTACCGGTGCTTTGATAGGCTGCAAATTAGCAGTGCCGAACAATATTTGGGATTTGGAGTCACTTTGAAATACAGTAAGGTTTTCTTCCAGGGTTAGTGGCCAGTAGTCTTCTGTAGAGCCTCACTGGGCTAAATAGCTACACCAGGTTCTACTGTTTGTTTTTAAAATAACTTCACTGGAACATAATAGAAAAGGGTAATGTCTGAACCTTTGAACAGTGTTCCCTGTGGTCCCACTAAATGCTTACTATAAGTCAGCTGACTATTTTCTGGGCATGTGATAGTTTGTAGGCCAGAGAGTTCAGATTGGAAACCACATTTATAATGTATTGCAGATGGGCTAAGGCAGCAGAGGGGAGATGACCCTGTGTTGCCTAAGTGACTGTCAACCATTTTTTGTATACATGATCTGATTGAAACTTACGATTAAAATGCCATCTTGTGACCATAGATACATACTACAGTGCAACTTAAGTCCTTTATTATAGTGAGACTGAATGTTTACATGCATATTCACCCTGGAGAAGAAACCAGTTTTCCTTCCACTGTGTATGATCGTTTTCCCCCACACATGCTATATTTATGTGTATATGTTATTTTCTGCTGTTAGATATCAGAAGGGAGGCTTTCTGTAGAATTCACACAGACCACACTATCCAACTCATTCTGTAAAGAACAGATGCAATTGCAGTTTAGGTTTGTCCTGAGTCCCCCAAGAGTCTGCTCAACATAAAAACTACCAGACGCATCACTTACCTTTTGTGCAAATAGTGACATAATTATCAGCGTAGGACAAGAAAGGCAGTTAATGAAGACAGAATCACAGAATCACAGA